GGTACCGGGTAGAGGGTGAGTCCAAGAAAAGTAGAGGTGGGTCCTGTTTTGCTCTGGTATCTGAACATACGACAGACAGACACCAGGACAAGAGGTGCCATGAGGTGCCTTGGTGGGATGCCAGTCAGAACAGGAGCAACAAGGTTATCTACAGATGAAAGTTTCCATCACGCTGGACTGAGGTCACTAGCCTGAACAAAAGTACTAAGAGCTATTTGTTCTTCATTTTATTTTTATGTATATGTGTGCTCTTCTGGCCTGTGTCTCTATGAATCACATACACGTGGTGCCCACAGAGGCCAGAAGTAGGTGTCAGATCCCCTGGGACCGGAGTTACATATGGTTGTGAGCCTCCACATGGGTGCTGGGAACCAAAACCCAGGTCCTCTGGAAGAGCAGCCAGTGCTCTTAACCACTGAGCCATCTCTCCAGCTCCCAGCCATTCATTTAAGGAACCTTAAAAACACAATTAAATGAAACAAGCGAGTCCCCAAGGATGATTACTCCAAGACTCCTCCTCTCCCGTCTAGGATGTCCACAGCAGTCGGACTGAGAGACTGGAAGTTAAAAGGTTGCCGAGGGCTACCGGAAAGGGGAGTAGGGAGCTGTTTAGAGGTACACAGTACTAGTTTTACGGGGTAAAGGAGCTCTGGAGATTACTGACAACAGGAATATACCTGACGTGACTGAACGGTGCCCCTGAGATATTCATTGTGGGCTGGAGAGATGGCTCAGCCATTAAGAGCACCAGCTGCTCTTGCAGAGGACCTGGGTTCAGTTCCCAGCACCTACATGAGGGCTCACAACTGTCTGTGACTCCAATTCAGGGGATCTGACGCCCTCTTCCGGCCTCTTCACCACGTGCATATGGTGCACAGACACGCAGACAAAGAATACTCATACACATAAGCAAAATAAATGAATCTTTTAAAAAAAAATTTAAAAGAAAAGAAACATCTATTACAACAGAAAAGAAAGTAACTCAGAGAAGAGAATAAATTTGGGGGAGTCGGGGTGAGCCTGGTTCTGAGTAATCAAAAGTTGACGGGATTCAGCATGTTCTCTGCTTTCAAAATCGGTGGAAGAGGACGTCAAACAGGTAGCGAGTAAGAGCACACACTGGAAAGACACAACGGGTTTGTACACGACACAGATGTGGGGACAGCTGTGGGTCAAGGTGGTGCAGAGAATCCAGGCCTGGTGGCACCTGCTTGTCATCTCGGGGCTCGGAAGGCAGCGGTCCCCACCGCTACACCAGTGTGTGCACGTATGTGGAGTATGTGCACACAGGTGCAGATGCCCTCAGGGGCCAGAAGATGGCATCAGAAACCCCCCCCACCACCACCACCCGGCCGGCCAGAGCTGGAGTTGTGTAAAAATGCTTGTTATTCAAGCAGCAGGACCTGACTTCAGGTCCAGAGCAACCAAGTCTGCCTCTGAAACCCCAGCCCGAGGAAGGACACCAGTGGGTGGATCCTGAAGCTAATAGCAGCCAGTTTAGCCTTCCTGGGACTACTGGGTAAGTTCCAGGCCAGTGGGAGATAAGGAAGGGAGGGAGGGAAGGAGGGAGGGAGGGAG